AAAAATTCGTTCCCTTCTTCCTGATTTTTCTCGAGCGTTCAAACTCACGGAGTTTACCTCTATCGAATTACGGTGCAAACAGCATGGAAAGGAAGATAAATGCAACTGGCTATCGATAGCCGTGTGTTCGTTTTTCACGACGACAACGAGCGTAAAACACGATGATGGAATGCGCGGTTTCCGCCCCAAGTCATCGCACAGATATCGCCTCGTATTTTGACCCGGCGCGGCGATTTCCTTTCGCGTCGAATTGAAATACATCGTCGCACCACGCACTCGGGGGAACGAAAACTAGCAACAGATACCAACCACGGTCAGAAACAGCACCTAAAGCAAAGGAATCCAAGTCTGTGAATCCAAGCGGAGAGAAACAAAAAGCTGACCCTTACGATTCTCCATGCATTCTGGCGTTTACGTATAGCGTTTCTTTTGCGAAGAAGAAAACTCCTTTCGTTAGGAAGCGGAGACGTTCTTTTTAAGATTTTTATAAATACCTGTAAACTATCTCTTTTAATAATTGTAAGCTCAATTTAGTTTTCTCCGCTGGCTATATTGCGTGCACATATGAATTCGGTATTTTCTGCTGTGTCAAACTAATCATGCCACTCACGGAAGCAAAGTACAAGAAGTAGAGTTGTAGCGCGTGAGTCAAAGTGGCACGACGGATTCCATCAAAGATCTGAATCTTTAATAACGTCTGTCTTAACCGTTTGGTAAGCCCGTAACACGCATTCGGATAGGCCTGACCTGACCTACATGTGTTTTCTTTTGTGAGTATCCGGTAAAGGAGAGCGTAGATCATTCGCAAAGAACCGACTAAAACGCGTACCTCGTTCAAACCAACCGATTTTTATGCGAATCAACGAACTCTATTCTTATCCTTTTCTTTTCCTTTTTGTCCTCTGGAGAAACCATTGTTTCTACGAGTACAAATCTTTCCCACCTGTTGGCCAACTACCTTTAGAACCTAATTTTTCAATTTCCACGAAATCAACGAATGCAATTATGACAAAGACGCAATTGTTTATTAAAGTGGTACCTTGAAAACCAGTCGATGGAGTTTCCAAATGAATTTCTGCTTTATTGACAGACCGATACGACCGCTACACTGTTCAAGTACCACTCTGTGATTAAACGGAGGAAGTAATTTTCGTATTATTGCCGGTTCATCGAATCAGATTTTCTTTCTTCGTACGGACGAGATTCTGTTATACTCCGCAAACTACGAATACAGCAGAGCTCGAGCCTTCGATTATAGAGGCATTGATTCCCTGGCAAGGGAAGTCCGGATTACTGATTTATTGAACCAAGTCACTCCCCCCTCCCTTATATCCGCTGCTCTGATACGCTCTAGCATTACACTAGTCGCGTTACTTTACGCAAAACTCGTTTGCCACCGCTAGACGAGATTTAACGTGTCTGAGATTCGAAACGCAGAATCCATGGCACAAAGAAAAATGACAAGAATGGGGAATTTCGATATTACGATTCCCCTGGAACATACGAAATAACAGGAACGAATATCACGTTCATCGGACAGACAATGTACCTGCTTGGCCGCCGACATTTACTTAACACATCCATCCTGGCAGATATCAAGCACCCTCGAGGTGCCGCGAAAACGTGCACACGAAACATTTCCACGATTTCCTTTTCCCCTTTCGCGCAATTATAACTCAGCCAGACCAACAGTCGACTCATTGTCCGATATCGATCGGTCTAACCACCCACGACAAGCTTCATCCGCCCATCCATACACGGCGTGCCATTCTCATCCGGCAAGCATTGAACCAAGGGAACAGGATATCGCGACAATTACAAGAAAATTTAAAGCGATCGTAGGGTAAGGTACAAAGAGGTTGGAAAGCAGCCGAGTGTCTCAGTCGGTGTCCGCGAGCGTGGCTAACGGCTCGACCGTCGAGGAAAAGAGGGTTACAGTCGTTAAAAGTCGCTGGAATGCGGCGGCTCGACATTTCTGCGCTCCCCTCCGTTGCATGGCGCGATCCTCGCGCGCTCGAAATACAGCCAGCTTCTGTACAAATCCGCGTCTCCACGCTCGAGAGAGACTTTCGCGGATATTCGCCAACGTTCTCCAGTGTTTCAAGGGATATCGGTGACTTTCAGGATTGGTTCCTTTCGCTTCGTTTCGTGGTCTCCTCGAGTGTGACTCTGTCTAACCGTTCACGAGCCATTATTTATCGCGAGCAAAATTCATAAATTTGGAAATTTGAAAAATTTTATCATCAACCTCTGGTGTAACGCGGTGGGTAAATTTCAAAGTGCAACGATACACGAGGATTTTATAAATTTTTATAAACGAACTTTATTTCGCGGATGAGTAATTTGGTTCGATAATTTTTTTTAAGCTCCGTGGTCCGTGTAATGCGGAACGTGTCTGTTACGCGTGTTACAGTATGGCCTACTGCAAAGGTCGAATTTCCATGTATCGCGATTACACGACGTACGCGTGAATAAATGCCGGAGAATGCGGGTGTCCGCTATTGCAGAAGGATAATTAAATCCCAATGGACAATGGAAGAAATTAATTAAAATCGGACGACTAAATACGTTCGCGATTGCCACGGGCGTAAAGCTGCAATGGGAATTTCTTTGTAGACGCATAGAAGAGAGAGTAGATTATGGAGATCGATTCTATTGATATTCATTAGCTCTGGCTGTGTATGCGAAATTCGTGTGCCTATTAGGGTATATAATTAATTTACCGTGAAGGTAGTACATACTTGATCCTTTATTCTTTCTATTTTCGGTGTATTTGAATCGTTATTGTTGTTTTATGGCGGTGGCATTGAATATTCATGGTGGGTCAACGTAGCGTCCAATTGGACAAACTTTGGAAAGTATAGTGTATTTAAATTACTACTGTGTTATTTTATACCGACGAAATTGAATATTCATCCGGAGGTGGACGTGGCATCTAATTGGATAGACTTCGAGAACTATACTTTCCTCTCCAGTTAAGTCTCCATGATGGACGTAACCCATCGTAATATCCTGTAAACTTCTGTCAAAACGAAAACTAACGCTGCAGCTGCAACAAAAGTTTCCGCACAGTTCAGCCTATATGGATATCGTGATATTAATGATATTTCACAAATAAATATTCAATTGTGGAACACATCGATGTACCATCATCCCCCGGCTATTATCATAAGAGAAGAACCACGATATCTGGTAGCAAGGAGTCTTTATCTTGGAATTATCATTCGTTCACCGCTAATAACGGAAGCTATTATTATGCTAATGTCCACTATTCTTAGGTTAGCTCACGTGTATTGATCCTGAAGGGCCCGTATTAATATTTATACAACATTTCAGAAGGGATATCTCCTGTACACCCTCGGTGCTCGTGTCCAGTTGCGATTCGTAAAACATGTGACTTCTCGTACAATCGACGCTCGTTCCTTCTGCTTTCTTCCCTCTCCTGTCCTGCTTTAATCCAATAATAGCTCGTGCACGTTTATTTTAGACCCCCAGAGACGAGACTGCACCGTTTCTGTTACACGAGAGTCGGCTACCTGGCTCGTGACACGCTTATACGGCTCAAAAGTGGACTGAAAGTTCATCTGCAACGAGTCTCAAGATCTTGGTACATACCGACTTCGATATGAATTATATTAGTTTCCGTTAACAGTATTTGTAGGATCGTTTATTCTTCCTTGTCTCATTTTCTTCGGCCGTGTAATATATATCTTTGCGATTGATGACGAAGTGCCTACGCCTTCCCACGCGTTAAGAATAGAATCCTTTGACGTAATATTATTTCTTTTCTCCTTGGCAAGTGCGATGACTCTAACGTAGCGTCGTGTCTCTCTTTGTATCCTTCTGACAGGAATAAGTCTTCCCTTTTTTATGTCTTCAGGGAGCAAACGGGCGACGACAAAGGATTCGATAGAGATGGAAATTTCCTGGTGCGAATCGCGTCCTTTCGCGACACTTTCTCCGTATTAAGACCAACATTCGTCAAAAGATATATTCATATATTTTAATACCCGAGTCTTTTCGATGTGAAATATTAACGAAAGACGGAGAGGGACAAAATCTCACGACTAGCATGAATGAACGATTCGTGCTTAAAAAACCGATCCAATAAAAATTTCGTAACCCACGCACTACGAATGCCATTCATCGTTTCAAAGAAACAGAGGAAAACAAATAAAAATACAAAAGATACAGGTTCAAAACGATTTGTCTGGCCGGAAGCGTATTTACGTCAACCACACCAACTTTCGTTCCATTTTTTTGACGACCTACATAGCGGCCACCTCTACGCGTCGCGACTCCGAAATGGAAAGGAAAAGGAGGTCCGGCTATTTTTTCTGGCGACCAACAGCCTTGTTTCGCGTCCTTGAAAGGTTGGTTCGCTAAGCGAAAAAACGACACCACGGTAATCGCGAGATCAGAAGCGCCGTGCAAGACACGTGCTGTTAGAATGCTCTTCGTTTCTTTTCTTTCTTGGCTCCCCTCGACATAGCCTTGAGTGGTTAGTTTTCCAATTTATCTACCATACTGTCCGCGCAGCTTTGCCTCTCTTTCTTATTTCCCGATTGTCCTTTTACCTTCGTAACTGACTGTACGGCTGGATGAACCTCGATTAAGTTGGACATCATCATCCGTGCAATCTTCGCTTTTTCAAAAAGCAGCCTTTAAAATTGACTGCTAAAGTTTTACCTCGGTTTTTTTCAGCGATCGCCTCGAGCGTTAATCTAGGCTTTTACGATGGCTAACGAATAATTGTTTAATTATACTTTTTTATTAAAGCTTGTAACGATCGCAAGTTTCAGAGTTTATCCAGATTATGTGTTTCGCACATAGTAAATGAACTCTGATGTAATCGAACGCGCGATTTTTTGTTACGATTCTCTAAAAGATTGCAAACAAGAGCTACTTTGAAAGTTAAATGCTCGGTATAGTAACAGAGAGAAGAGGGAACAAAAAAGAACGGACAAAGACTAGATTTGTATCTAACCAACGGTATTTACCGCACAACAGAGATGCCAGACGTTGACCATGTGCTGCGGTTTCTATTCAATCCGATGCATACTGGGAAATGGCAGCTAAAAGCGGGCTAAACCTTCGGCGTTAAATTCTCTGGTGCGCTTCTTCTATCGCTCAACTCTTGGAGACCCAATGATCGAAACGGTCTTCCATTCTTCTCAGAGTAATAAACCAACAAAACGAACATCGGTTAACAAACTTAGGATTACGATCGAATCACTCAACAGCGCGTCTCTATACCGTAAGCGAGAGAGTAAGCACATCATTCGGCTCTAACGCACGGTTAGTAGATACTTGTACGATCAGAAGAAAAACTTGTAGTCCGACGAGTTTTGCACAACATCGGTACGGCTATGTCGCGACACAGGTATTTCGCGTTTTCTCGCCAGAAATCTCTTAGTACGCGAGTATTCACGGTGGATAATAACAGGCATGAAAAAGAGGCGGGGGTAGAGGAAATAGAAACAAGATGGAAAAAAAGAAAGAAAAGCGGAAAAGGAGAAGATAAAAAATAAATGGTCGTAGAATGATAAGGCAAGGTGGAACGTGGAGCGTGAATTAGGGAGACGATACGCGTTCCGCCGAGAGAAAACGACGACTCGTTGGAAACGCGCAGACGTTATTATCATGCCCTGGCGGAATACCAGTTACTTCTACCACGTTCCAGTTCCTTTCTTCGCCAGGTATTCAGCGAACGGTCCCGGTAAAGTGACCTCTCAAGGCCGTCGGCCGAGCAACAAGAGAAGAGAGGACGAGGGAATTCCCCCTTTCGCTCGGTCAGCAGCCGCGCGCAGTTTCATCTAGCTGGACATGGAGCTCCGCTGCCGGAAAATGCGTCGTGGAAACACACTTCAGTGATTAGATCGCGTAACTACCTCTTATCTTCTTTTTCTATTTTTTCTTTTTTTTTCTGAATACTTTATGCATGCATTTTTCGTTTCACGGTAAATTTTGTCCTTTGAAGATTGATCGAACGATCGCTTCTCACGAAAAAAATGAGCCAAGACTGGTTTCAAACTTTATCGTGACAGTCGTACATATAAATCACATTCACACCTATTAACCTAATACAAGATGATAAGAAAATGGTACGTGATAGCGTGAAATTAAGTTCGTTTAACACTAGCGTGACACTGTGACATTTAACGTCATTAGAAATAACGATGGGCTAATAACCACTGGTAGCACATCTTTTAGCATGTGATTTTTAGAGGTTCTCGTTATCCCATTAACTTTTTCCTGATCGCAGAAAAGCAAAGAGAAAAAAAAAGACAGAGAGAGAGAGAGAGAGAGAGAGAGAAGCTTACCACAGACGTTACAAGTCGTCACGGTAATTAAAAACGGTAGTAATGGAATTACGAGCTGTTAACGCGTCTTTTTCAGCTGGAACGACAGAAAGAACGATTTTGCTTTTGAATTTAGTGGTTTCACCTTCTAGCAAGGCTGCTCGAATACGTTGATTGAAATTATACGCTGCAACGCGCAACGACGCCGTTCTACGCTCAATTATAACCATCGTTCGTGTACTCTGTTGTAATTAACCCGACACCTGCGCCAGTGAAATTATCAAGCGCGGTTATTACGGTTTTATCGTAGCTACCATTAACTTTGCTTTCCGATTATCGATAATCTTTGAACGTTATGCTGCAGCATCGTAACGTGCGATAAAAATACGCTTAATGAGTGAAATCTGATTAATTATAAAAAGATGGATGGAAATATATACCAGTTTTACAAACATAAATTTTACAAGGAGAAAATCGTAAACCGCTTCAGTTCTTGGGAACACGCAACTAAAAGTAGCGCTCCACTTCGTTACGCGAACTTGCAACTTACAATCGTAGACATACATCGCGATATAACGAGTTGCAACTGCAGTTTTAGTCCTAACAGTTAAACCCTAAGTAGGAGGAGGGTGTGACACGTTTTCTAAGTTGGCGTCCTACATCATAGAATTAATTACTCTTTAACTGTGCAAATGTAGGAAGTACTTTGTTTTGCCTTTTGCTAAAAAAAGTCGCAATTAGTCATTGTTCGCGGAAGTGTTTGTTCGATCATACTCGAACGGTCGCATTTAACCTTGCCGTTGATGATACATAGAAGCAATCGCACATGCTCGTTTCCGTTTCATAGTTCGCTATAAAATTTGCCCCAACCACTATGACCTGATAGCGCGATACGCTCGATGCAGGATACGCAAATCAGGACAAAAGGAAACGATCCTGACGGACGGAAATAAGAATCGCTCTCGATGGAACTGCAGAACTTCCGGCGGCGAAGAATAGCATACCACGTATAATCAGCGAACGGTTTTTCTTTTTCTTTTTTTTTTTTTTCAAATAAAATGGGAACACGGCTCGATCGGATCAAATCTTAGGATAAATAAAGTTAGGACAAGTAGGATGAGCGCAAGTTGTTTGAATCAAATTAAGCGATTTTCTTCGTAATACACCAAACCCGGCTATGAACAACTTTTAAGCGATTTGCATTTGAAAACGGACTATTTAATTCGTTGTTAGTAGCGTGATAAGCAACGAAATATATCTTATACATTGACAAGTCGACGACGGTTATAGGTTTCTTCAAGGATATATCTTGTATTCATCATTCATCAAAGATAAGTTTCTTGAACCAACATTGATATCCTCGTTTGTAATTATCATAATTTATTAGCTTTATTAATTTTCATATAATACTTGCTTGCTTACTCAAGTAACCCTGTCGTGTTATATTTCGTTATGGAAAAGCAGGCATACGAGCAATCGAATTTCAGCGATAAGAATAGTTCTCTGTGCGAGAAAGGTGCGTCAGATTCGAACGGTATGCGAGTTTGCAGGGATGGAATTTGCGCGTGCTATTTAAACGAATGATTCATCGACGCCAGTAACGCAACTTCGATTTCTTCCGCCACCGTTTTCGTACGTCGTCTTCTCGCTGATATGAATGAATTCTCGCTCGTTTACGAATTGTATTTATAACCCTTTCGTCTGCATCTGGTTCCTCCTCTTCCGGATGATACACGTTTCTCACAGTACCGTGAAACAATTCGGTTCAAAAGTAGTCACGTTGTTGCTTTAAAGGAGAAACCGAAATATCGTATGATGTAAAAAGATTATCATACTTTTTAGCGTAGTGCGTAGGAGTGATAGAACGAGCGATCGGGGATTGAGCGAACGCTTATATTAGACTATTGACGTGAGTGACGAACGATTCGAAGAACACGCATAAAAATTTACCTGTGTATGGCAAGATACGTGTGACGCATGTGAAATCTTCGAACGAGTATCATTATAGCGTTTCGCTACTATTTTATTAAAAATCTGTCTGCAACCCAGTATTCCTGCGAATTGAGAATTTAAAATTGCCATGCTGAGTCTGAACCTTGCAGTGATCATACAGCTATCGTACCTACAATTATATTTTTACGTTTCTTCAATCAATGCTCTCGTCGATACTATCTTGAGACTTCGTTAAAGCTGAAAACCTGAATTTCAACGTTGAAGTTGTATTACACAAGCCGATAGTTATGCATACCTTTAAGCATGCTTATCGATATAACCTTGAAATGTCCTTCAGTATATGAAATTTAAATTTCAATGTTCACTATTACAAGAGCGTACGCTGTATCCATTTACGAAACATATTCGAAATAACGATCGTTTATGGACGAACGTTGTGAGTGTGAACGTTGCTTGTATAATTCGTGCATTTCATTTCAACATGCATAAGGATGTAAATCCTAGAGAACTAGATGTTCGTTTAGAGAAGGTGGATACGTCCTGAGGAAACAGAAGTTCGCCAACGAAGGAACATAGTGTATGTATAACGCGCAAGAAAGCTTGAACAAGCCTTATACCGCCAAGCTCTGTTTATACCCAAACGACTCGGTTTGTCTGTGCCCTTTGCATTTCACGTCATAACGGAAGAGTTAACAGTCCTTGGCCTTAAGAAAGGAAGCGGGAGGAAGTTCGGGTCGAACGGACGCTTGTGTGTTATTGCGTCTTCCAATTAAATTAGAACGTTCACCATTTCGCTAATGTTTTCCCGCCGTTTAAACGTTCAACGATACTTCGCAACGCATTTTCTTCTCAAGTCTGAATTTTTCGTTTTTCATTCCATTCGATCGGTGTTCGAAGTTTGAACGACTATTGGCATCGACTATAACCAACCACTATGGCGAGACCAATACCTCGACTACAGTCGACAATTGATACTCCAAAGCAGCTGTGTGTATCTTCTTTGCAAATGTCTGTGCCATTCCAAATAATTTACAATCGAGAGAAGCAGTCTTTACGCTGCGATAACAAAGTCACAACGAGACTTTTCAATAATCGTTCGTTACTCTGAAAGAGTTCATAGATACCATTTACGACATAGAATATTCAACGGCAGCTGCGTCTACGATTCATTCGTTCTTTGATCGCCTGTTTGCCAGATTCTGTAACCTTGCTTCACAGACGCCATCGCGACACTTGCAAAACACCTGCATCATTATATTTGCCACTATTCGCTCTAATAGTAGCGGTACTCGAGTACAACTATCTGTTGCGTAAGATTTTTTTTTTAATCTTTTTACCAGTAGCAGACTGATAAGCAGTACACAGTAACCTCTTAATCGCCGTAGTCTCTTGAACATTTTCAATCAAAATACAATGGCAAATCGATGGAAAGAACGTCGTGTGGCTCTGTTTTCCAGCGATTCGTTCGGGCGTTTTCGTATCAACACCTCAATGAAACGCACATTACAACAGCGAGGTTCCTCCCACGCGTTGAAAGTTTGCCCTCTAAACCGGTAGCGTTCCATTATTTATTTCTGACAGTGAGTCATTAAATCGAGGTAATCGGAAGAATATCGATGTCCCAATTAGTTGAAAGAGAGACAGAAACGGCGGAAATCTTTGAAGTCGATCGGTGGGCGTGAGAGATGTTAATGTTCGCACGCGTCCAGCAAGGCCGAGGACGCGAGAAGCGTAATTGGAAGGCATCCAACTGCCTTAATACTAGCAGAGATTTCTTTTATTAAAAAGAG